AAAGTTACTAAAGTAGCTGTTTAAAATTCAAACCATTTGTATTTATTGTTCTCTCCGCATTGTTTGAGAGGGCTATTGCCAGTTTGTATCTTCTCTTTGTACCACATTTTCGGCAGTGTTGGAACAATTTAGCCTAACATAAAGTTACATAAAGGAATACAAAAAAAATAAATTATTGTAATGAATCAAATATAAATGTTTGAAAAACATATTATTTCTAACAAAATTACAATTGTTATTAAGGGAAGGGATTCGAACCTGCTAACTCTTAGGAGAACGTTGGGCTCATTACGCCTTTTGTTTCTGTTACCAAGATAAGTACTAAAACTGATGGTGAACGATCTTTCTTTTTCTGAGCCCCTAAAAAATGGAATTGTCTCCCATTTCATATGTGTAAAATGCCGACCACCCAAACCTTCAAAACTGCACCCAAGACACATCTTTTTAAACTCTACCATTCTGTCTCATTCTCTGCCTCCCCTCTAACCGATCAACAATGATCGAAAATGCTGGGTGCCGTCCGTGGCTAGATAGGGGTAAATTGTTCATGGGTGGGCAAGGTTAATCTTTTTTGCAAAACTGTTTTTAAATAAATAATTTTATGTAACTGTTTTTTTTTTTTAATTTCATGATTGCTACTTTTTATTTGAAGAGCGGTGAGCCTTGCCCTAGGCTGGGGTACCGCACTGTATGAAACCATTTTAATAATGATATCAAATTTTAGACGTATTTTTAACGTGAAACCACTTGTTTTTTTTATTATGTATGGAAATAAATGTTTTAGAATATTTAACAGTGCCAATGATTGTATCAGGGGAACCACTACCTCTTATTACTGTGCAGATCTGTTCAAACGGTTCTCTCTCTCTCTCCTTCTCTTGATGTTTATGGCTGCTCTCTCTCTCTCTCTCTCTCTCTCTCTCTCTCTCTCTCNAGCCCAAACTACCCCAACTATTATAGCAGCAACGTGTTCTACACTTGGACATTTCGTGTACCACAAGGCAAAATCATTACATTTGGGTAACTCTTCTTTTAAACGTTTTCAAATAGTTGTAGATATGTCAGTTTTATTTTAAATATGTATACATTTAATTTTTTAAATAAAATAATCCAATTAGATGTTATTTTATCCATGACTTATCAAAATTTGACAATATGTAAGAAACATTTACATTATTGGTCTATAGTTTATAAGTGATTATTTAGAACAATAAATACAACCAAGAAAAGGACGTGGTAGTGGGTCGGAGCATACCCCTGCTCAGATTAAGCCCGAGTATGGAGTGTTTGTACAGTAATGGCGGCAAACAACGGAATAAAATAATATTGTTACTTAATTGGCACTCTCATATGGATTAACTGAAACATCTGCTGCCTCAGTCCTTGAAGAAATAAATGCTTAGCTGCAGAAACAATTTGATTAACTCCACTTTATATTGTCTGAAGGGGACTGATCGTATTTATCAGCCTCAGCTCCATCATTTTAAGGGAACTGGGTATTAGAGCCTTCTTGCAGATTTGGGGATTATGAGAAAAATGTTTGACATGTTGGTGACCGTAATTATCATTCTGTTCCAGAAATAATGGTCCGATCGTTTGGATAAGGTTTTATCTCTGTCAAATAGCCATCTGACATCAAATAGTGTTGGCAGATTTTTAGGATATTTAGAAGTCAGCTTTAAGTCAGAACCTACTTCCAACCCTTTCTATACCCATTATGAATTCCTCGTTTTTCTCGATATTATTTAGCTTTTTTTCACAAACAAGTGACTTTGAATTCATATGATTCTCTTGCGGTAGTTAGTCCATCCACAAGGCGTTATGTGTCTAGTTTTGTAGCGCATAATTGTAAAAAAATCTCGTCATACCTATGATCTTCTATAGTTATAAAATTGACGCAAGATTGTTAACTGGGTATTTGGTGGGAAAGAAACTTGCTTTGTAAACGTGAAATGCGATAAGATAGTATAAGCATCACGTATAAAAGTGACTTTGGTGGATAGAAATAGATAGACACTACGGGAATGTTTTTATTGCATAGAGATTTAAAAGTCTACGAATCATCCATTTTCATATGTGTGAAAGTAACAAACAAATCAGTTATTAATTAAGTGGATTAAACACATAAATAGTTGTTTTTTTTTAATTTATAAAACAACACTACTGGTGGGTAAAAACTAAAACTCAATAATTGGCATAATCACAACCAGGTCATGTGAAAAATAAGTTTCCACAAGAATATAAAAAAAAAAAATCATACGTAATAACAATCAATTATCTTTGATGAGCTGATTAATTCGTTGGATGGGATTTTTAAAAAAAGAACAAAAGTTCAATCCCCCAGGGCCAAAACTTGGCTACGCTACAGCTCCGGCGATACTCAATCTTTTACTACACATTGTTTACAACGTTAGATGGGTATAAGTCTGGCCTGGATATGTTTAGTCTAGCCATTGTGGTTATAGTCTAGTTTAGATGTGTATAGACTGGTCTAGATGGGATCTTTTACTACACATTGTTTACAACGTTAGATGGGTATAAGTCTGGCCTGGATATGTTTAGTCTAGCCATTGTGGTTATAGTCTAGTTTAGATGTGTATAGACTGGTCTAGATGGGTATAGTATAGTATATATGTGTATAGTCTGGTGTAGATGGGTATAGCCTAGTCTAGAAGTGTATAGTCTGGTCTAGAAGGGTATAGTGTGATCTAGATGGCAATAGTCTGGTCAAGATGGATATAGTCTTGTCCAGATGGGTATAATCTAGTCTAGATGGGTATAGTCTGATTCATATGTGTATAGTCTGGTCTAGAAGGATATAGTCTGATCTAGATGGCAATAGCTACTTATTATGAAACTCAATGCATACAATAAATGCATAGGTTGAAAGAAAAGTAACTGTTTAATGTTTGAATGCTATATTAATCTAATACAAAATGGCCACGAAAAGAACTTGTATATACAGTTGTTGTTGATGTTTGCATACCTCTGTTTTTTTTCTTCAGAGTTTTTGAAACATATTTGGAAAGTCAAACCAGCTGTGAATTTGATTACATCGCTATTTACAATGGCGGCAGCAGCAACTCTCCTCTGCTTTACAAAAATTGTAATCAAAACGATACATCTTACAGAGCCTTCAAATCTACAGGAAACTACATGTACATTGTCTTTAAGACTGATGGCTCTCACCAGAACAGAGGTTTCCTTGCAAGCTATTACATTCAAGGTAAAGTAACCGACGTGTTATTAGCTTCATTGTGCATATTTGTTTGATGCATTTTCGGCTTTACATTTCTTTCCATTATGTTAAAAAAAAAGTTTAAGACCGAACGAAACTATTCTCACGTTTATCTAGTAATACAACAATTGTGCATATAGATTACAAAAAGGAAATTTTTTTCTAACAGCTGCTGGAGAAATAAATGAAGCATTGAATAGTTATTGTAACCACCACTACTAATCTTATAGATATCAGGGTGTTCAAGAGGAAACAGAGTACTAGTACATGAACACTCCTGTGTAATGAATATTAAGAATATCTTAAAATATTTTTTTTATATTTTAAATGGGAGAAAAAACATGTTGTAATTATTTAAAAGTAAAAGAATTATGTTGATGAGATTGCCAAAGATGCCATCGACACCCTAGAAGGATATCCGTCATTGTGAAATTTCGTCCTCTTTCAAAAAGTCCTTTAAAACCCATCTGTTTAGGTCCGCCTATGACCTGTGATGCACCCTTCTTGCCCTGCCTCATTTTCTGTCTCGTGTCGATCCTGTAGTATAGGCCAAAACGTGCCAAAGTGTCCTCGTTTTATAGCCATTAAAAATTGTCTCTATAGTATAGTAGTTACTATCCTAGTGTCTCATTTTATTTTAATTAGTTTACATGTTTTAAATAATTGTAAAGCGCTTAGAGCTTTAAGGTAAGCGCTATATAAAAATGGCTAAATAAATAAATATTAGAGTTAACGATATGGAACATCGTTGGAAAATCGTTAGACCTTGGAAAATGAACTGTCTGCAACGCATGAAAATAAAATTTAGTGCTCGCCTTTTATTCTCTCTAGACTTCAATACAGCACTGACAGCAGAAAATGGAAAGATTGTTAGTCCAAACTATCCTGGTAATTACGATAATAATGTCTTCAGTTATTGGCGTGTTCGAGGGCAACAGAACAGCTACATCACATTCAGGTATACAATACATT